TTTTTACAAAATACATGATACAACATTATGCACGGGTTGTGTACATTGATAATGCCCTTGGTGGGGACCTAACACGCTTGGATCCGTTCCTATGCGGTTCAGTGATTCTCATTAGTTCCGGACGATTGCTGAATTGTTATTCACCCAAAATAATAAACTGGTGCTCAACTTTTTACCCAGTAGCTGCAATTCAGGTAGTGCTGTTTAATTTTTATCTTAATAAATAATTAGTATTGTTATCTATATTACTTTACTGTCTTGTTTGACAAACAGATAATGACAATGTTTTCCTTTACATAGATGTTGTTCTCATGAAAGATAATATTTAAGACATGCAAATTCGATAAAAGAGGGAAAATAGTATCTAGTTAGGTACCACAGTACAGGTGTATATAGTCAACAACAGTGACATTATTTTATGTTAGTGTCTGCGGCGGGGTATGTTTTCAAATATTTTCATTAATTCAAAAAGTAGAGTACCTGAGTAAGTACTTAACTATGTAATAAACATAAATATAGCTCCGTAGTTAAATAAATACCTATAGCGTGAAAGTATAAATACAAACAGACCGTTAATAACGACTTTATTAAGGACATAGATACTTCATTTTACTGCTTTTTTTAAAATAGAAATATTTTAAGGACAATTCTCAATTTGTATGAAAAAAAAACTAATACACAGAGCATATTAGGTAAAGGTATGCCTATATGGGTGAGTAAATTCGACAGAGGCAGTATCTTTATATTGGAATTTGGTCTATATGTACCTATAAATTATGACACATTTCGTTTGCGTCGACGCTGTTTTTCAGCACTGTCCTTTGTTTTGTAAGGTTACACGTGCAGTTTGTTTAGCAATAAGGTAGTAGTGACAGTTTTATTATGTGGAGGTAAGGCCTCTCTGGAGGTTAGCGGAACAAATAGGAAATTGATATACTTAGTTAGTTACGGGTCACTTGTACAATCAATGTGGTTTTCCTCACCCGAATATTTTTAGATAAATGATATAAAGTTATGTCCTTGTAATTTAGACTTAATACTATAACTAGCTAAGGTGTATATACTATCTGCAGCGTTTATATATCCTGCGTATGCATATATGTACATATATGTAAATACAACAAATAAATATTTTCTCAATGTTTATTAGGTTGTAATTTTTTAATTTTTCTGAAACTTCATTTAATAGCAAATACACCTACTAAGTTAGTAGTAAATCACCGATAGGATATGACAAATGACAATCAATATAGCCATAACTGCATGCATATTTCAGTTAGTGATTTCTCATTTAGTTTGACATTAAAGAATAAGGATGTAAACACTGACCGGTTCTCCGAAGACGAAATTTTGCATCTCGGGCGTCGCCATGCGAAATGAATCATAAACCTTTTTAATATAAGTAGGCTGTACCGTTAGAGTATGTGTACTTGTAACAAGTCGCCGGCGACTGTTTAATCAATTTGAAAGTTCAGTGTTCGACATCTGTCACTTTTGTTATTTCGATAAGTGTTTGCATCCACCCGCCGTTAGGTTTTGTGTTCATGAGATTAATACGGAAGATAGGCATGTAGAAAAAGCTTTTGGTTTACTTTCAAAGACCTTGACCGCCTCTAGCTATAATAGTGACCGGTGAAAGTTAGGGACTGCCCCCAACAGTTGTTTGGCAAAAACATTAGATATTTAAAACTAGTAAGGGCACTGGGCACTCCATTAAAATTACTTATGCTATCTTTAGAGTATGTATTTATAAAAAACGTATGACTTTTCTTTATTATGTGATTTCTATTTATAAAGCAAAACTCGTAAAACGAAGGTAAAAGCAATAATCATTAAAATAGTAATTAAGGAAGAATTTGCTAGGACTTCCACTTAAGTAATTTAATGTGCACGCAATAATAAAAGTAATCCGTATGGGCCTAATAAAGTGTTATAGGGCAGGAACGGGATGGGCAGTGATTAGCGCGCGAGCCTGGCGCCAGCAGGCAGCGGACGCGGCGCCCGCGGCGGCCGTGTGGCGCCTGCCTAGCCAGACTCTGCATTCTTGCACTTTCACCGCTACGCAGACATTCGGATTCTTCCAGAATGCAAGCACGAGCTCAGAACTCACCGTTACGCAAATGATTGACGCTGTCTGCGTCAAACAGCTAATTAAGACAAGCATGCGATGAAGTTTAGCAGCCTAGTATTGAAAGCTCATAAATCGATGTCTCTTTAATACTTCGATGACATATGTTTGAGTATGAGTACACGTATAACATGAGTATTAGAGAACATAAATTACATCTAACATTTTCAAAGATAACTTAAATGTGACATTAATAAATTGCTAACATGTCTTCAGCCATAAAGCAGCTAATGATTCTTTTTAACTTTAATGAAACGTCTAATTCTAAGTCGTCAAGACGATAAACAATAGATTCTACATCTACATACGTCTACGTCTATATGATTTATGAAGGTTCACAAGTACCTATATGTAGTAGGTATGACAAGCCTCATCACCGCGCCTGGTACGCAGCTAGGTACGAGCAGTAATGACTACGTTTGCAAACACATCAATTAAGTAAACGACAGACTATTCATGGCGACACAATAGGACCACCAAATAACAATAGCTTGCCATCACAATGTACTACTCCGCCCTCGGTCAGATGTTTCTGCGAAATGACATAACATTTAATGTCATCGTAACACGCCCAGCGGCAAAAATGAGATGATGATGATAGAGAAGTCCTTTAAGAAGTTCTTTTACAAATGTTTAAGGTTTAAAATGTTACAAGCACTCATATTGAAGCAGAATATGCTAAATGCTATGCTAACGATGCTAAAACCACATAATTTAACTGTGTCTATCTTACAATACTAATTCTTTGTAATAAGGCGCCTTATGAAAATTCATTGAAAGGCTATAAATAACAATACAGTGGAACCATAAAACGTAAACAGATAAGTAAGTCACAATTATTCAGCTGTTACAATAGTAATTATTAAATGACGTTGACCTACGTCAATAGTGAGTGCTATAAATGATATTTTTTAGTTTATAGGTACACAATTAACAACAAATATTTGGCTTTTAATCAATAAATTGGTAATTGTCGACAATTTGCAGATTTTTCTCTTTGATTATGACTTGATAGCAAAGAAACGGAGCAATTGACTTTTTCAGTCTCAGTTAGTCAGTAAGAATCCCCTTCCTCCCGCCTTATCCAGGCGGGAGCAACCATTCGATGATTTTCCCCCCTTAAAAAAAAAACAAAAAAATTGACAATTTTCTTTTAATTTTTTGTAATATTTTCTGATGCAAGTATTTTATTAATTGGCTACTGTGTAAAAGGCATAAATTACCTTTAACATGAGTACATTTTGTAGTAAAAGGAATATTTTTTTAAAGTTATAGACGTTAGATAACATGAAAAAAACGTTAGTGGCTCCGTTTCTTTGCTCCCAAGTGTAGTTTGATGAAGGAGTCTTGTGAGGTTACGTCATGCTAATTTATTCAGATAGGTGAGAGAGGCGTGTCTTAAGCGCCGAACCAAGAGGTCGTTTGTATCTTCTTCGAAAAAATAAAAATTGATGGTCCATAGTCGCCAATAGTGGCCGCGTGAGGTTGTTTTGTTGTCATCACGCGGGGTTATTCAACGAGGCCATGGCCATAGAAAAACACGATGTTTTGCAAGAGACGCTGATTAATAATTCTACTAGGTATTTACCGTGATCTAATACAAAGCTTAGTACGTAGCTAAAATACGATATGATTTTTTGTATTAAGTATGTAATGAATATTAATTTGTGGTCCGGTATAAGCAGCACAAAATCAGTCAATTGGCCAAGCATTTTCAGAAAGGAAGATAAAATACTTTTTATATGAAAGTATTCAAATACCGGCCGTTTATAAAAAAATATATATAGGTATAGATTAATAGAAAAATTACAAGATGTCATACATTTTTTTACCGAGTAACTAAATGGCATCTTATTTTTTTAATCTATAGTGGCCTGAATTTTTTATTATATAACATTGTTAAATCCTTTAAACATTCAATTTTTAATAGTCAATTATCTGCCTGGCTGAATGGATACGATTTTGTTCTAGTTTAGTTCTTAGCAAAGAAAAAAATACTCTCTAATTACTGATTTTACTGAAGTTTAAATGGCTATATTTTAATTATTAAAATAAGTATAAATCCCTAGTAGACTCGAAGCTTGTGTTAAAGTTATTGGAATTCTACCAGTTTTAGATTGGAATGTAGGAAGATAAAAATGTAAAAAAATAAACGGTTTAAAACTTTTGCGGCGTTTCGCGTTTTAAACTAGTTCTCTTAAACAGAAACGTTTTTTGTGAACGTAATAATAGACAAAACTCGTTTGGGATTGTGGATTTTAATATTATGGCCACGATACAGCGCGTCGTTTATATTTAGAAGAAATCAATTCACTTGCATCATGTCAGTAATTTCGGAGAAAGAAACTAGATCATGCGGCAAAATTATGATACTTTCGCTTTGCCTTGTTTTTTATTTATGCATAATCAAGGTATTTCTAATAAACAGGGTGCAATGAACCGCACGCATTCGTCAACGCTTGTCTGTCTGATATTGACAATGTATTCGAAAGTTTATGTTGTGCACACTTACGGGTTCTGCGAGGTCATGAATTCTTGTCGACAACTATTTGCCAAACTCTAAAAGCCGCGTCCATTTCCGCATTCGTCTACTTAAGCGTCTAAGGTCGATGACGAAATCATCTCATCTCGAATCATTGAACGTACCAGGGCGAATGATTAAGTTATTAATTAATTATGCAAGGTCATTAAAATGTGCGTTCAACCTTGTTACATAATACTTTGTTATGACACATTTGGTTGTTGATCAACATGAGTCGATAAGGAAAATGCTTTCAGCTTTATGCTTGAGTAATTGCCCGGGTTCTTCGAATACCTTTCTTGTTTATTTACCTTTTATTATACTTTAACGGTAGTGTGTTAATCGAAGGGATTTTCACAGACTTCATACCGGCGCGGTTCAACGTCGCCATCATGATGTTCTTCGCGTGTTGGGTCAACTACATGATGCGAGTCAACATGAGCGTCAACATCATCGCTATGGTGCCTGATGACAGTACTACTACATCGTAAGTGTTTTTTAAATAATATATTATTATTCAAGAGGGACTTACAAAATGCTCTATTAGTTATTTTATAACATGCTGGTAATGACGAAGGATATCTAATTACAAACATTAAGGGTAATACGGGTTTAAAAAGCATTGCTATAAGACTGCCTAGCCGAGATTCACAAACTCGTATTTGATACCAGTGCGCTTGTCTACAGAGATAGTACAAAACTAAATGTATGGGGATCACACTGACAAATGTCAAAATTTACGTCAATTTCATATAATTTGGTTTTTTATTCTACATGTAGACAAGCGCTAAATGGTATTGGGCTACACCTGGGCCTTTAGCCAAACGCCACTTTAGCGCTTGTCTACAGAGAGAGTAGAAATCAAAATGTTTGGGGATGACACTGACAAGTGTTAAAATTTACGTCAATTCCATATAATTACGTTTTCTATTCTACATGTAGACAAGCGCTAAATGGCATTTGGCTACAGCTGCTGCAGCATAGACTAATGAATTCCTTATTAAATGTAGACACTGAATATGCGTATGATTAATTAATGAAATATTGATTAATCGATTTACGTACTAATATCATTAATGAATAAAATGTACAATTATCTAGCATGTGTATGACTTAGAAAAATAAATTAGTAATGCTTTACTGTGGGGTTTTGGAGGCAATACGTTATCTGTAACTACGTGACTTAACGCGGTATCAACGTGTTGGTATCGTAACTGCTTTGGCAATGTTATGTACCTATTGCATAGAATAATTCTAATATCTATTTACCTGTGTCTCGTTATAACCTAGATGAACATTCCGTGTGTCACCCGAAATGGCAATCCGTTTGTATTATTTTTATTACATCTTATATTATTATCGATCCAAATTATTATGTATAGGAAAGGTATACGATTTCTTTAAGAAAGATATGTCACTCATAAAAAGTGCTTCGTTCAGTTTTTAGGTTCACAGTTCATAAATAAGCAAGTAAAATACAGTCGAATTGAGAACATCCTCCTTTTTTTTGAAGTCGTTTGAAGACAACAAATTGTTACAAATAGCTCCACGTATCACGGTTTCACCGTGCACCCCTATGTGACAAGTGTAATATATTTTTATCACAATATTATTATTGCTTTTGTTTAATCTAGGCAATTATTTACGTATCGTTAACTAGTCATCAGTACTTACATGTAACTATTAACATAATCGGTAAAAAGTTGGTGTTATGTAATATTTGTACTAGTGTGTCTATGACTGTCCATTCGAGAAATAAAAGATATGTATGTAATTATTACATACTAGCTTCTGTACGCGGCTTCGCTCGCGTTCCCGTGGGATAAAAAGTAGCCTATGTGTTATTCCAGACTATAATATGCACCTACCTCGTTGGCCGAGTGGTCGCAATTGCGACTGACAATCTCGGGTTCGATTCTCGGGTCGGGCAAAGTATTAATGAGTTTTAAAAAATTGTGGTGTTACTTTGTACAGTGGCATAATGTGCACCTCTGCCTACCCCTTCGGGGATAAAAGGCGTCATGTTATGTTATGTAATATGCACCTATTCCAAATTTCATCCCGATACCTTCAGTTGTTTAAGTAACAAACATGCATACAAACTGACAAAGATAGTAAGACTAGTAAAATTGATTTGGATAGTTGTTAAGGTAGGTACCATTTGGCAAACAAAGCAATAAATTAAGAGATTCGTTGCGTAACTATACATCATATATACATATTTAAATTAAGTAAATAACACTGCGTTACACGATTTTGGTACCCACGTAAGTGTTAGCTGGAATGAATAGCTAATGAGTCAAAGATTAAATGTTCCAAACATATGTGGTATCTATCACGTCTAGTTTTCAAGGTACATGCCAAATTATTTTTTCTATTACCCTCACTTTAGGCGAAAACGAAATATTTACCAGTTTTGATGTGCTGTACTTTTTATTATTTTGTTTTGTTTAGTAGTCATTTTTATTCGATAAAGTCGATATATTCGTACATATTTCTTTGGAAATCCATTATAAATACTGGACTAAGTGGTTGTCGCAACTGCTTAAATGCACCAAATAAGTTTTGTTATATTTGCGGACAGTATATCGTGAAGTCACAAACAAAAAATGTTTCCAAAAAAGTGAGAAGTGCATATTTACTATATTTTGGGCGTGCTATAAATCAAGATAAACCATGGATACCAAAGTTAAAACTCAAAGAAGGCATATTTTGTAGGACCACAAATACGCACATTGATGAAAGACCCAAATTTTGAGAAAAAGGTTACTGACAAGGAACATGATGCCTGGTTATCGCTGAAAGCAGTTATTAAAGGGTTTTTAGGGAACCACAAGGCCGAAAATGCGAAAAAGCTAGTTGACGACATGTTAGAAGCATATAAAAAGTTGGGTTGCAGAATGTCGTTAAAAATTCACTTCCTTCATTCTCACTTTTCTTTTTTCCCATCTAATCTTGGTACAGTCAGTGATGAGCAAGGTGAGAGGTTCCACCAGGATGTAAAGAAGCTTGAAGAACGATTTCAAGGGCGTTGGGATACAACTATGCTAGGCGATTACTGCTGGCGTTTAACTCGTCGAGTACCGGTTTTATAGACACAATTAAAGAACAATAGGTCGCGGTCACCGGTGACCGCTTGGTGTTTGACAGAATATAACGAGAAGATCATTCAAAGCACAAAAGAAAAAATTAAAGTTTTGCGGTCTTTTGTGTTAAAACTTTTTATAATGTTTTTTTTTAACCTTAATGGTAAAATTAAACTTAGTTAATGTGAAAAAATCTGGTTGATTTAACTAATTTTCTTTAAAATATGTTTTAGCATTCAAATTTTTAGTATAATTTGGCACATTCTTATGGAAGAAAAATGAGACGTGATGAATGGAAATTTTGTATGTATTTTTAATAAACTATAAGTATTCATAAGAAAACATGACATTTCAAAGCGGGTACTCAATTTTTTTTTTCATTTGTAACGCAGTGTAATTAGGTAATCAAATGACACATATGACTGGGAAATACACCAATAAAGAAAAGAATAATTTGATAAATACTTATTCAAATAATCGTATTAAATGCATACACTTTGTGATTCGTGATTCAGCGACGTTATTTGACTTTTTACATTAGTTTTTTCAATAACTGTGGTTTTGGGCTATATTTGTGGTAGGTCATTGGGAATTCTCGATTAAACTTTTAGTACCTACTAGTCTACTGAAGTATGTAGATATAATTTGAAAGAAAATCTTTAAATAAAAATAATATAATATTAACTTCCCAGTTCGTTTCAAGAAGGGACGATAAAATCTTAGGGCCGATTTTTGAATCATCAGTTAACTTAATTCTTAACTGTGGAACAAAATTGACAGTTGACAGTTTTTAGTATTGAAGAATTGTCAATTATTGTAAGGTTCCCCAGTTAAAATTTAACTGAGCATTGAAAAATCAGCCCTTAGTATGATGTAATTGTCATTGTAAAGAAACTTTTATTTATTTTTAGAGGTAACAACAAGAAGGACAATAAAATCAGATAAGAATGGAGTACTTAATAATGTTTCTATTATTAATATTGTATTTATTTGTTTCCTTATTAGAAATATATACCAAGGTAGCGTCTATACATACCTACAATAAAATAAAATTGCAGGAAAGTTAAAACTATACATATTGAATAATTTGTTTAAACTTGGGGCGTGATCTAGAATCGACGTCGAAGTCAAAATATTAGTTTTAAGATTTTTTGTCTATTTATCTGTCCGGGCTAACCTGAAAAGTATTGCATGGATTATTTCTTACACGAATATTACTATTAGGGTAAACTCAACATATAGGCTACATATCATGAGTCGCGGAGGACTTAACGGGTTGCCGGGGCATCGGCTCGAAGGGCAGGAATAGGAACGGGGTGATTTTTAGTCAGTAAGAGTGTGACACTCCCTCCCGCCTTACCCAGGTGTGAGAAGTCCTTCGATGATTTTCACCCCGTATAAAAAAAGGCTACATATTATCACGCTATCACCTATGGGGGGAACTGTAAAGAACTATCCAAAGTCACTATTCGGGCAATATTAAAACTCAACAAAACAGAACACAATATCTACGTTTACTAAAATAGATTTGAGCACGTGCATGCATTAATATTATCAAACCATTCTTCTAAAGTTATCGCACACTGAAGTACCTACATTTTCCTTAAAACATTTCGATTATTATATCTTATCGGTCACTGGGGATGTAAGAATTTGACTAAGTGACAGCCGATAAAATTGATATCGAATTCTTAAAAATCGATTGTTAGACAAAATAATAACAAGATACTTGACGCAGTTTGTTACTATGAAGCTTGGATACTTGGAACTTATTACTCTTGTGCGGCTTCACCTATTGCTGCTGTTCATCGTAGCGTTATGTTTTATACAGCCCTCCTTGATAAACGAACTATCCAACACAAAAGGAATTAGGGGGAAGTTCTGTAACGCTAACATGCTAATCTCCGGAACTACTGATTACTATTGAATAGGAGGAGTCCCTTAAAGCCGGACGGCACCTAACGCCGGGCACTTGTATTATCTCGATAATTAATAACACGAGCGATTCAATTTTATTAAAAATCTCAGGTGTCTGCTACTGGGAGATTTCCCCCTAAAAATTGAATCGCTCGCGTTCTTAGTTATCGAGTTAATACAATTGTCCTTAGGTGCCGTCCGGCGTTACAGGACTTCCCCCTATTCAAATGTAATCAGTAGTCATGGAGATTAGTGCCTTCAAAGAAATAAACTCTTCAGCTTTATACCGGGTGACTTTGTGACTCGACGTATTCCTTTCGGGAATTAAACTCATTTCCTACAAAATTGGCCCTTAGGTCTGAAACTCTGAGACATTAAACATTTTGGGTTTTGTCGAGTTACAAGTCACCCTGTATAATTATTATTATTAATATATATAGATATAGTATAGATGAAATATCTTGTGAGCTATATGTTATTTAATACTATACGTATGTATGTTCGTCTCTATAGTGCGTTCAGTTGACTAGCTTCAATGAAATGACTTAAGTGTAGGTACTTGAGGTTGTCGCTTTACACTTTCCATTTTCCCCATCAGTTGAGAGGCCTTCTTCCTATTTACTTCATTTTTATATAAATATAGTATCCAAGGAAATATTTTATTTATTTTTATTAATGTACAACCTTTCCTCTTCCTTTCTATTGTTCTTTATATTAAATTGATAATAATTATACCCATGAATTGCTTTCAGAGTATAAAACTTTAATAAACTAGTTGTAAAAATGAGTATGGCATGGTATTTATGGCACATCTATTTCATTGCTGACAATAAACGGATTATACGATATTTTACATATTACATGCATTGATGACAATTTTCTTTATTGCTTTGTATAAGTTATCTTACGGGTTTTCAGATAACGACATACATATTTTTTCTTACAAAATTGTTAGACACTAAATTGGTAGGTAAACAAAAATATAAAATGAATGATAAATGACATCTTAAAACTACTATGAGGTACTTACTACATACTATGTCCTAATTTTTTATGAAAAGTTAAAAAAGATTAGTTATGAATGAAGTTTTTTTTAAGATGTAGGTAATCATCAGCGATGTATGAAGATAGATTGTAAGGAAACTGCACCGTGGTGGAAGGTGCATAAAATGCATGTGCATCCAACTGTAACGTTGCAGAATCAGATTAGAGATCATTTGTGTATTACAAGCTATTAAAATAATTAGCGAAATCCTCTTCACTTTATCATTTTTTACAGTCTTGATTATTTTTGGTGTTTTATTTATTATTATTGGTTTTTTTGGTTCATTGTTATTCAGATTCTAGTATGCCGTATGTGTCGCGGAGAACCTATAATGAGTTACTGGGGCTCCGTCTCGACGTGCAGGAGAAGGAACGGGGTGGTTTTTAGTCAGTAAGAGTCTGACACTCCCTCTCGCCTCACCCAGGCAGGAGCAGTCATTCGATGATTTCCCCACCTTAAAAAAAGTATGTCGTATGTTTTTATTAAAAAGAATTAATCTATATATAAAAATGAAACCTGTTTCGCGGTTTTACGCCATAACTTGAGAAGGGCTAGACCGATTTGGCAGATATTTTTTTATTGTTATTGTTATTGTCAGGCGAAGGTTCTTATGACAAAAAAAAATCCTAAAAATCTTACGGGAACGGGAGAAAATGGGATGAAGTCGCGAGCAGAAGCTAAGAGTTTGAAATAATAACACATTCATATTTTCTCGAATTATGTTAGCGTAGTTAAATAATTTAAGTATAAGGTACTTTTGTTTCTATATTCGTAAATATTGCAGATTGGGTAGCATTCGATAACATTTTAGTGAAAATAAGACATAATACATGTTAGGTATTATTTCATTTTAAATATGTTAATAAGCACTGTGTTTAATAATTTTGATGGAATTTAGATTTAGATAGTTAGTTTACAATAATTTAATATACATCTGAATTTAAAAAAATAATATTGTGAGTTTTAATGTTAGTAGTGACTGCCCTACCTAAATTAAAGGACACAACACAATTTATTTGTAATTCTCATAATATTAATAAACTGTTCAAGGTGCAAATATAAGTGATTGTTGGTCGTTTCAGTATCTTGAGGTTATTGATCTTACATTTTTTGCAATAACTTTTTAACAATATGGTGAAAGTTTTTCTTATTATTTGTGCGTTTTATTTTTAGCGTGTTTAATCATTAAGCATTTAATCTATTAGTTCTATGGCTAATAACTACGTCCATAGAAACAGGATTCCGAATCATTGAGGAAATAAGTTTTATACGGAAACTTAAACAAACATTTATAAACTAAGCCGTTCTCTAGCAATTTTCAGCTATTTATTAGGAAAATCCCGCAAACAATTAGACTTTTCGCCGTTCTCTAACATGAGTATGATTCATAAAGGAGACCTTGGTAAAAAAATGTGCATATTAAATATGCGGTTAACACGTGAGGCCGATATCCAATGCTTGAAATCGCATCAGTTCGCCACGCGTTGCAGGCCACGTGCGCCTACATTCTCACGATCATCGCTCTAATAGTACCACTGTATTACTTATAATGACTGTAATTGTTATTTTACTACTTTCCTTATATCTAAATCAACTGAGAAATTTATCATGTTTTCAACACTACATAAGTCATACTACTTCATACATAAATTGCACGTCTGCACCTAAGCTCGACAGTTGAGTAACGAGTGCATAATTTATTTAATTAAAACTTGGCAGTTTGTATAATAATAATATAATTGTATACAATTACGTCTTTGTGCATTTGTTATGTAAGGATGCAGTAACTTTCATAATAATAATTAGAGAAAAGGAAGAGAAGCATTTTGAAAATTAATTCCTTGTTATTAAGGTCTAAAAATAAATGTAGAGGTGTAATAATACAACTCCGTTAATGCACGTTTATGATGTTAAGTGAATTCATATCTTTCACGGTAAATTTCACTCACTCTCAATAATACGTGTCATTAACTGTTTACGACTTTTCATGTGTACTGACTATGTATATGACAAGATTAAGTTTCCTAACTCACTGTTGTTATAAATATATTTTTGTTTTCATTATTTGATGCATCTAATATCTAAAATAAAGGTTAAAAATGTTTGAGTTTTAGCTTTATCCGAAACAAAAAATTGCGTAAATTCACTTAATCATAAGTATTTTAGATGTGTGTGTGTGTGTAAGACAGAGAGAGAGGCGCTAAAAAGTTACTATTTTATTTAAAATTACTTCATTCTGGTTTCAATTAGAAACATAAAAACTAGTACAGAAGCAGAAAATATCTCAGTATATCTGTAATTAAACAATTATATTTGTGCAATTAATATAATTTTCGAAACATAAGTAAATAGTAAGAAGCAGTCTTTACTCAGCTTAATTCATTGTGCTATTATAACGTCTGCTTGAGGTTTCCGCTGTGGCGTCACGCGTATGTTCATGTTAAATAACAATTAGTGGCTCAATGAAAACTGAGTAATGTTGAAAACAGATTATATACACGATTTGTGGATTATAATTGATTTAGTTTTGAAACTATGTTAATGGTTTAGGTTTTCGTTTTTTTCAATCAAGATTGGAAGGCATCCAATGCCTTCTCCCGCCCTAGTGAGGCGAGAGGGAGTATCAGACTCTTACTGACTAAAAACCACTTCGTTCCTACTCCTGCACTACGAGCTGGGGCAACTGGCCCCAGCATTCCATTAAGTCGTCCGCGGGTCCGTATCAGCATCAACGTTATTGGGCTCCATATGTGGTGGTGGGACAGCTCTTTGAGGTGCTCACGCAAAGAGACGCGCCGTAGGCTCGAGTCTGGGTCTGATTGGGCGGTGAGCTACCCTTGCTCGCCGTCCGCAGGCCCGTGCTTACGGTGGCCGGAGATCATTTCGCAATGGATTAGGTTTAGCATATTATTTTGGATCACCTTTTCTTAATTGTACAAAACCTTTCACCCTAATGGGAGCTACTTCTTTGGTGTTACTTTTTCCTAAAGGTACTTATTTCGTTCATGTAGACAATATGCAGCATTCATAGTTTGAGGCACATAAGTTAAAGCATTACATTTATTTAAAGTTTTAGTTCCTAGCTAGCTACAATTTTAACGCAAATGTGTCTGTACTAGAATAAAAATAGGTTCTGATCTATGCATATTAGATCAATGTTTGTAATAGGATCACGTATTTATAATCAGATAGTTGAGACATTTATATTTATGTACACAGTACTTATTTCATTGTAATTCACAGGGTGAAAAGCGAGTGCGAGGCCATTGTGGCAAACGATACTTCGTTGTATAACAGTACTGTGGTCACCAAGCGAGAACTAAGACAGGTAATATTATATTTTATACTAAATACTTACAAAATAACCTTCAAATAATAATTAATTGTTTTAAAAATACATAGTAATAGCTACAATATTGTTATTCTTTTCCTTTATAGTCGTATCCTTGCTTTTTATTTTATTTTTCTTTTATTACTACAGATTATACATATTTATTGCCTTCATAATAAATCTTTCTAAGAGGTTAAGGTCCTCAATTCCTCTCTACTGTCAAACGGAATCTAGTTATGATTTATTTTCTGAATATTTAAACCAAAATGTTTTTTAAGTTTTTTATTATATGCTGGTTTAAAAGATTTTTTTTAACAATGGTCACATCATCTCAGCTCTTTATTTGTACGTTCCACTGCGTAACGACCGATGCACGTGACCCATTCATGAATGGTTCTCTATTCATCGCATCACTATGCGAATTTTCCGTAACACAGGTGTGTCCTGAAAAGGAAACCTTTTTATTCTAACTCTCATTTTAACAATGCTTTCATTAATGCCTTATTTTAATTTCAAATATGACTTGTCACATATAATGGATTCGCAGAATAATAGCCATATTTCACGGTTAGGTTTTGTCTGTTGATTAATTTAACAAAATAATGGTGAATTATAATAATTTTGTTTAACATGTTTTGATATTAATATAAATAATGTTGGAATAAGGAGAGGTTTTGGTAAAACCTAATTCATTAATTTTAACAGGTAAAGATTGGTTTTATACCAATAATACAATACAAATACCAATGTTTGTACAACCATTTATGTCACAGTCAACAAAGCGATATAAGATTTTATTACTAGAAATTAGTACTTCAAATATTTATGCGGTAGCAAGACAAATAATAATAAAATAGCTTACGTACTACCTATCTACTGTATTGTTGACTGATAGCAATGGTGATGGTAAGTGAAATATGGGACATTTACAAGTAATCTTAACTATAGCGTATACGATATAGTTACGCATATTAAACAGGGTGTAAACGGGACACTTCTAAAAACGAAAACCGGTAAAGGTAATAAACGAGATTTAGTTTCGAAAATGTAAGAAAATAAATGTTTCTTTTATGTAATAAGAGTTGTAATTAACTCTCAGCTCAAGGCTGTTGTCACGTGAATAATATTCACGTGACAAACCAATAACACGAGAACAAAAATGATTAAATTTGTAAAAACAATATTTTTACACCTGCGTTTTCGGAAGCGTTTCGTTTACACTGCGTATGCCTAAGTTATGTAATAACACATAATTCCTGTAAAGTTGTAATTTTGACAAATTATTTGCTCCATTGTATAAAGTTCATTGCAGTACAATTTCAATCTCCGGCATTCAGTGTTATCCTGGGATCAAATCCGATACGTACTTACCTGTCATGCATTCAATTAGTCGATCAACGAAATAATTTAAACACGTCTAAAACATTTTTTTTTTTGTACAGCCAGATGGGGTGGTTACCTTCGATTGGACAGCTCAGCAGCAAGCATACGTGCTGTCAGGATACTTCTGGGGATACTCCATCTCCTGCCTGGTGGGAGGAACAGCGGCCGAATTCTGGGGACCAAGGAAACTGGTATTCGTCACCATGCTGTTGATCGCCATCCTGACCATCTTGAGTCCCCAGGCAGCAAGAATACATTATATGGTACTCGTGGCTGTCAGATTCGTCAGCGGGTTAGCAGCGGTAAGTCATTATTATTTTGTACTTATGTTAATCGTTACATTCCTTTATATTAAACTGAGCGGATTCCTTTTTGTCTTATTATTTAATTTGGTCTAAGAATATAGGTATTGCTCTCAGTTCCTTCAAGAACATGTATTTGCATAATAATAAAAACAAAAAAATATAATAGCAAGAATAGTCGTACCAAAATGGTTGGCATGAAAACAAGTGAGTTATTATTTATTGCAGATTTTATATGCAATCAAAATTCAAGTCACAAGCGTAGTGCCTGTGTATATTTAGATATTTATGTAATTTTTTATTGTATTATTATTATAAATGCGTTGACCATTTTTTGTCATTATAAACAATATTTACTTAGGTTTCCATTGAGATTTAATTAATTCGTTTTCAAAACTTACTTTGATTATCATCAATTTAAAAATAAAATTAGTTTTTACATCATAAAATTAAATATGAGATTATCAAACGACAGAGATAACAACAAAAAATAACAACGTTCCTTTTTGTCTTATTATTTAATTCGGTATAAGAATATACCTCTAGGTAGAGCTCTTAGTTCCTTCAAGAACACGTATTTGCATAATAATTTGGTATTCGAAGACCAATGACCATTCGAATTTTATAATTAGACACAACCTACACATAATTAAATGTCAACATTATTCAAATAACATAGTAAACAAACATAGTTCTTTGTCCAAATTAGTAAACACTATAATCTATTATATATTCAGTACATAATTTCAATTCTCAATGACTATCGTAATTATACGTTTTAATGAAATTTGATACAACCATCTGAATTTATTGTTGAAGCTGTGCCTCGATCTGACTTATCATGGACGCCATTTTTCCATTTTTATAAGTACCTTCTTAATAGTTATTATTTTTTATTTATTGTTACCAACGTTTGACTACATTACTACAATAATATAAAACGTACAATAAGTGTCACAAACAATTGGGTAGTTTCCTGGATCAAAAATAAATTATTGTAATTTTTCAGTTCAATTAAATATTGAAAAATTTAATTGGACAACACTTTCATTCATTGATTTGTCGATATACTTAATTTTCGATTTATTTAAGCATTTTTTTTATATATAAGTGTGCTATTTGACGCGAAAATATGGTGACGCCTTATGACGGTATTTCGTACAAAATTCATAAAAATTGTTTAATGAATTCTGTACGAAATTCATAGAAACTGTTCTATGAATTTTGTACGAAATACCATCATATCGTATTTGACGTTTCGATAAAAGTTTGACTAACTGTCAACTATCGTATTACAGGAAACTACAACTTGGTACTTGCTAATAGAAATTATAATTATTTAAAAAAGTATTTATTCTATCATCATTCAATTTGCTGCAGTCGTTTTAAAGTAAAATCGTGTGTGTGGGACATCTACCTCTAGATAAATTTTCACAATTATTGGCAGACATACAAATAGTCATTTACTTGTATACTGATTATAAATAAAGTGTCTATGTACTTACATGTATGCACTTTATGGTACAGGCGTAATTACAGTATTCTAAGATTTTCGTAAGATACTGATTTTAATTGCATATAATTTAAGTAGGTACATATTGTATTAATTAGCATATAATTATAATTGTAGGTACTTATTTGCTATGAATTGGTATTTTAATAGGACTTTATGGAAAAGGTATAAAATGTAACTGCAAAGAATAATTAGAAAGTATTTAATGATTACAATAACTTCAATACAAAATTCCCTTTTAAGCTCTTCTTTCTTCTTCTTTCTGCCTCGAGCAAAAATTGTATACCTTTGGGCAATTCAAACCTATATATATTTATAGATAGGTGAGAATTTAATTATTTATAATTGGCTAGTTTCCTAGTTTAAAATAAATTGTTTCAACTTTTTAATGCAATAAATAATTAAAAAATAGTCACACTCTCATCCATTGATTTGACAATTAACCTACTTTTGAATTTTATCTCGCTAACTTTAAGGAAATAAGTACGCTATTTAACGCAGAAATATAATGACGTCATAAGTTACGACCCATTACAAAATTTATAGAAAAGTATCGTTTTTGGCATTTCAATAAAAGTATTGAATTTGAATACCTGTCAACTACCGTATTGTATAATAATAACGATATATTCTTTAATTTCGTATTTAACATAATCTAATTCCATGTAAGAAGTCCAATATCTTTATTATTACACTTTCTGACATTTGAAACTAATATACAACATAGAATTCTGCTTTTTATTCTAATATTTATTAGGTAGATATAGAATACATACCACACGAATACAAAGTTAAGCTAACGTTACATTTTTCTTGGAAGCAATTCATTTAACTGTCTATTCGAAGTCCTTTTCTAAAAGGCTATAATAAAACCGCAAGCAATTTGTAACAGTCGTAAAAGTGTGGTATTACTGAAGGAAATGAAGCTCATTATACATAGGTTCTTATTATAAGTACAGTTATTTTCCTTTTAAAGTGCGCTTCATCGTATTCATTTTCAATTTGCTGAAGTAGATAAGGCACATAACTTTATTTACAAACATGTTTTATGATACTTTAATGTTTATTGCATGAGAAATTACGGATTCCGTGTATTTAATTAGTAATACAGATACAGATTAACTATATGCAAGTGTAGTTAAGTTTTTAAATAAATATTTTGAAATATTCACACTCTCAGAAATTGTCATTTATATAGCACGTACATAATACATGTATGTATTGTATTATTGTTATTCATATACAGTGGAAAACTTGTAACGTCTATGTATTTAATAGGAACGAGAAAAAATGAAAATTAATGATACCTAACAAGTTAGGGGTTAGTTCAGGTGCTACATAACGCAAAGTGACTTTTACATAAGTGACAGGTTAGGGGTGATAAGTTAAAACGGCCATAAGGCACATAAGTATGTCCTCGAATTGGTAACAGTAATAAATATTTTTTTCTATTTTTATAAACTATGTGTTATTTCAGACCATGATCTAACCCTTTTTCAAATTTCATCTCGATTTCTTTAGCGATTTTAACGGGATACAAATACACACATTAATGTTAGTAGGATGTATATAGTATATCTGCACCATACACTCGGCAAAAATGCACCTTTATTCCATTACAATTGAAACATGTACATTTAGTAAGTACTTTTTGCCTAAAGCCTCGTATCAAACCGATTCTGCTACTATAAGAAACAAATTATAACGACCTCAAAGTGCTTAGTGGACGCCATCTTAGGAAAACGTTAATAAAGATGACTCCTAATTTCCCACGGCCATTATATAGTTATGGTAGTGCCAATTGTATTTATTTTGATGTAAATTAACCTGTTCATGAATACTTCTAAAAACTAACCAACAAACTGAATACTCTAGAAAAACATTATTCAGTTATTTTAAATGAACGGAGGTTTTTCGCATATTTTATGTTCATTCCTATGTTGAAGCGTTTATGACAGCTAGAGAACATTTTTTTGCGATAGGTAATCGTTATCTATTTGAACAATAATGTCATATTTATGAATACACAGAAGTTCGCAGAATGTTCTCTCGATGTTTATGGAAATGGGTGTCTGTGTGGATTTATTATGATGCGTTGATGCAATTTTGTGCCTTATGCCTAAGGGAAGGGAAGGATCTAGGAATTGTGATTGTATGTAAGTAACAGCAATTAAATGAAGTCGTTGCTCAACTGTTGTCATTCAAAGTAATTAATATAACCTACGTCATAACAATTCTCAAAAGCATGTCCACATGTAGGAATTATGGTCGTCTTTTGTAATTTGAAGTAAATCAAGAAGTTGTTAGAAGATTTTATCTTTTTCGGTACGTTGCTTGCGTTGAAATGTAAGTGATTTACAGTGGCCTTGTGTCAACACTGTCGCTGTCTTAGCTACGACCTGTGTTTTATGAAGGCTTTATAATTTTACACAACTATTTATATTTATGGACATAGCTTACAACCTACATAGGTTGCGAAAGAGCCGGGCTACAAAACAATAAAAGATATTCTTCCAATCCGTACATGTCCTTGGCATGCAATAGACCTGCCTTTTTTCTTGTTTTACTAATTATTCAAATTATCGTTGTTGGTTGGCATACATAGTTGTATTGACATTCCCTAACAGGATTGTAATAAAGCGAATATATTATATATATCCATGATCAATAACAGGATTGTAATAAAGCGAATATATTATATATAGCCATGATCTAACCCTTTTAGCGAAAGGATTGTAGCGCGTAGCCGCTGAGTAGCTATTACGTAGTCGTAGCGTAACCATTGCGTAGACGTGGCGTAGTCCGCACGTAGTTACCCCGGATGCACTGTGAAATTGTGGTAATAGGATGTCCTTTTTAGCGTATTTGCCTTCTAAATCCTTGTTAAGCCCCAAAGAGCCATCAGACCAACACGGATGAACAGAAAAGGTTACAGGGGTTCCGGCTCGAAGTGGAGGAGTAGGAACGTGGTTTATAGTCAGTAAGAGTCTGATAAAACACTTGTTAATACAAAAATTTAAAACTTTCAACCTTCGTTAATTCGGAGGTTCTAAGTGCGTTTTTTAGATTTTTTATTTGGAATTTTCCAGTATAGATAATAGTAAAAAATAATATTACAAATAATATACAGGACAATAGTACAGAGTTTGGTATTACTAGTACTGTCCACTGTCCAGTATTGTACAGTTATTATTATAGTTTGAACAGACGTGGAATATAACTTGAATGTGACATGGTGTAACAGAATAACAGTAGTTATGACAAGTTACGTGTTATTAATATAATCTGTGCTATCGCTGCTATTGTACATATTTTTGCATGGTCTACCCGCGAAGAATTTTAAGTAGAGACTGGTGCTAATACTGTTTGGACACAATAAGACACAAGGGTCTTATATATTGGAACATAATTTATCTGTCTGAGACAGACTAGCCACTAGGGCGTTCAAATTTCGTTAATATAAATAAATAAATCATTTACGGTATATTAAGTATTCTAAAGAAATCTTATGTCATATTTTGTAAATAATATTTCATTTGTTGTTTCAGGGATTCCTGTTTCCTTCACTTCACGCATTAGTGGCTCACTGGGCGCCTCCCCAGGAAAAGGGCAAGTTCGTGAGCGCTCTGCTAGGTGGCGCTATCGGTACTGTAGTCACCTGGTCGCTTACGGGTCCTCTTATTGAAAACTTTGGATGGGATTACGCGTTTTATGTTCCCGGTAAGTATTTTTAAACAGTCGTAGCGAATATCGTATTAAACCTTTGATATATGGTTTATTCCAAAGTTGAAAATGATATCGTTTAGTATTTTAAATGTGCCTAGTTTTAAAACTAGATTGCGACAGGAGGAGGACATGTATGGAGTTCGTCAAATTCACATTATGACTAAATTTCTATTACTTATTTTGTTTACAATACATTATACAATTTAGAATTAATTATTTTAAACTCAAATAATATAACATAACATCATCACGCCTTTTATCCCCGAAGGGGTAGGCAGAGGCGCACATTACGGCACTTAATGCCACTATACAATGTAACGCCCACTTTTTCACTATTTATGTTATGAGTCCCATGTAATAGGGGGTAAGCCTATGCCAAATACTGCCTACAAAGCCTACTCAAATAATATCTCAACTGATATTCGATACCTATATGGGATGTGTTTTAAATAAATAAAATAAAATAAAATAAAATAAATTTATTTCAGACATATTGGGTCCATACATTTACGATTAGATTATTATTATTCAATATATATATTCTTAATTAATTTAATTTATTACATTATAACACCGCATTATCAATCATTCAAATTAGTATATTGTCAATTTAATTAATGTCAATTTAGGTAAAAAATATCATTACATCAACAAATATAAAGAAGAAATGAAAAAAGGCCAAATTATTTAATTTTTTTTTTTTAACAATAGAATTAACTTAAGTATTTGCCTCCGTTTGAGGCACCGGTCACGCACACTTGAGTTTGAACCCAGTGCCTCATAAGGGGGCTATCCAGTTTTTGGCTGAGCTCGCTCAAGATGGTGTTGGCGCTCCCACGCGTACGGAACATCAGCGAGGCGATGCGGCGCCGTAGCACCGCGTGAAAGCCGTCAGTGTGCGCGTGCGCAAACATCGCAGACGCACTACAGCAGCGCGGGAGCCCCACCAGCACCCTGAACGCGTTATTATATTGTACACGGAGAGCGTTGATGGCCCGCTGCGTGTAGCTGACCCACAGATTGCAGGTGTAGAGAGTTTGGCAGAATGCTTTAAACAATGTGATCTTTACCCCAAGACTACACCCGCAAATCTGCGTGCCAACATATTACAGCGGACCGCCATCGCCCTCCTCTCCCTTTCTATGTCCCTATCGTCTTTTAAATCCTCGGTAACCACATGGCCGAGGTATTTAAATTCCTTCACTCTTTGAAGAGCGACAGTGTTAAGCAGTACAGGTGCCACACCCCCCAGTTTACGACCCCTGGCCTGAAATACCATGAGCTCACTTTTCTGCTCATTGTATAGGAGACCGTGCACTCTCGCATACTTCTCACACACACCTATCAGCTTTCTGAGCGCGGCTACTGATGGGCTGAGCAACACCATATCGTCTGCGTAGCTTATACTATTGATACAGCGACCATCAATCGAGCATCCCACTCCGATGTTGCTCAGCTCAACAATCAGCCCGTTTACGTACAAGTTGAAGAGTGTAGGAGACGTCAACCCCCCTGTCTCACTCCACACTCCAACCTGTACTCATCAGAAAGCTCATCACGCCATTTGACCTGGTTAGTCTGGTGATCATACCAATATTTAAACATATTAATTATCTCGCCTGGTACACCTGAATTCTTCAATTTATGCCAGAGTATATCATACCTAACCAGGTCAAAAGCCCTGGAGAGATCAAGAAAGGCTGCATAAACAGGCGTGCTCCTATCTGTGTAATACCTGACAGTCTGCTTGAGAGACATAACTGCGCATTCTGTCGAAAGTCCTGGTCTAAAACCGAACTGTGCGTCGTTTAATTTTAGATGTTTTTTAAGCTGTCTCTCAAGCAAGCCATCAAGCACTTTAGCTGTGGTTGTAGCTAATGAGATTGGGCGGTAGTTGCTCTTGTCAGAATTATCTCCAGTCTTGTTTTTACTTATAGGCACTACCACCGTCTTCATCAGCTCATTTGGCAGATAGGAATGCCTAATACAGAGCGTGAATAACAGACCCAGGAGTCTCGGGAGGTGTGACCCCGCATGCTGAAAATGTTCGATGCTGATACCGTCGTGACCGGGTGATTTCCCTCGAGTTTTACCTTCGTCATATTATCTTTTATCGAAACACCCAGACTTTGCTTACTGTGCAACTTTAAAATAAATCAAGGATGGGAGACGTGGACCCATAAATTTATGCATGAACGTATTAATATGCTTATTTTTTTTGGGGTGATCGAACTCCGAGCGTAACTGTACGAAATGCGTCACCTTAAATTATGTATTCTCAAAGGATATATCGTTTACCGAGATGAAAGAATTAACATAAGTGTGATGTAACAACCGCAAACAGTGATACGGGGTGTAAACGACGTTTCCTGGGTCAAATTTAAATTAATTTGATTTTTCATTCCAATTAAATATTGAAATATAGTTACACTTTCATTCATTGATGTGCCGATATACTTAATTTTCGATTTATTCTAGCATTTTTTTAGATATAAATGTGCTATTTGACACGAAAATATGATGACGACAAAAGTAGGGATTTCGCACAAAATTCATAGAACAGTATCGTTTTTGACGTTTTAATAAAACTCGGAACAATACTTTACTTATTGTTCCGAGCGATAAAAGTATTGAATTTGACTAGTTGTCAACTACCTTATTGTGATTGTTTAATATTTTGGTCGAAAATAGTTGTATATACTTATCTATTACTTTTTTCATTAATTCTATGAGTTGTCTATCCAGCTTGAATACAAATAATAAAATAATAATTAATGGTCTTGCAATATCTTTTTGTAAATAAACTACATATTATTTTGTTCGGTAAATTGAGTTGGTATCTCTTTTATTTTTGTTGAATTCGACTGGCAGTAATAATTTATTAAAACATATTTCTTAATTCTTAAATACAAGGTATCTCAGATAATGGCAGTATTACAAAATTGGCTTTCTTATTACCTACCTCTATTTAAATTCCGAGACGGTGGGTGCTGATTTCTACATAGTTAATTGAGCCGTGACGGGATTGCAGATGTCTTTGAAATAGTTATTACTCCGAGTATTAGTTTAAACGTAACATAATATTAGATACTAATTTTATTTATTTAAATAGGTTATAATATAAAAAAAGAGGTTGCTATTAGATAATTTGCACATCGTCCATAATGAAAATTATAAGTATGACGACCACTCCCATTTTAGGTAAGTGAGGGGTTAGAAGGGGAATAAAAGTAGGCTATTATTTAAAAGTAGGTAACATTCCATCCCTTCAACTATCTCCATTTAAATCTCGTCAAATGGTTGCTTCGTTTTCGCGTGATGCGCGCGCAAATAAACAGACACACAAACTAAAAACTGTTAAAAGAACGTCTTGAACTAAATTTTAAATATTCCCAAACATTTTTTTTTCATATATCCTCTATGTACATACTTTAGAACCTCTTTAGTTTTATTACATAATTATGTATAGATGTCAACACTTCTACAGATTTTCAAAGAGCACACCCCAAATAGTTATCCGTCTTCGATTCCTAACGTTTTGTTTTTTCTATATTCCAGGAGTAATCGCGTTAGTATGGTGTATTCTATGGTGGTTTTTGGTTTACGACTCTCCAGTCCAACATCCACGGATATCTGACACTGAAAAGAAATACATCCTTGAAGCTATAGGCGACAAAGTCAACCAGAGTTCAACGGAAGCTAAGGTAAAGACGGGTGATTGTATGAGTATTTATTTACGACGTCAAGGCTTCGTATACTTATAGAATATTTTAGAGTTTAACTATAAACAAACTGACACTAACATCATTTATGATTTCTGACTGCGTCGGTAGATATACATAATACTTTAAGTTTAATGTGTTCTTTTTTGCAATAGCAACAACTTAATTCACGACACAGATCCACGGCTTAGATGTCCCTCACCTAAAACACTTTACTAGGAAAACAAAACAACCACATAAATTAGGATATACCTTGAAATTAAATCAGAAAATAAATCCTACTAACATTTTGGCCATGCACAAATACAAATTCTTAGCAATAATTTATTGCCTTATACATGTTTTAGGAGCGACCTCAATGTCAGTACGTGTTGTGTTGCTCATTACTAAAATCGTGAGAGTTTTTTATGTTGTGAGGAAGAAACGTGGAGTGATCGTCGATGGTTCAAGGTTTTGAGCCAAAATCGTCCTTTAAATAGTACACGATAATTTATTATGTAAAGGCTTTTTGGTATAATTAAAAAGCCTTAACATCATTTAATTCTTTGTAATATAGCTGTTGCTGGTTACCCAAATTCAAATAAATAAATAATTAAGAATATTTGTATAATAATTTAGCATTATTTTAGACGATTTTCTATTCAAGTTTTAGACGGTGTTTAATTTGTTCGATATTCGTTTCAGGTCGTTCCCCCCTTCAGAAAAATTTTAACATCTTTCCCATTCCTCGCGATGGTTATCCTGCACTACGGTAGCAACTGGGGTCTATACTTCGTGATGACCGCGGCTCCTAAGTTCGTGTCCAGTGCCCTCGGCTTCAACCTGACTTCCACAGGCACTCTCTCCTCACTACCATACCTCGCCAGAATGATATTCTCACTCATATTTGGAGCCATCGGTGACAGGTACGTAAATTTATTTAAATATGTACATAATAAAATGCACCGTTAATCATACATCTGATTTACGAATATAACACCTGTTGCTTACGTAATAAGAACTTAATAACGGCAATCTTTTGGCTATTTCTATATTGTGCAAGTTTAATTTTAAAGACTATTATTTCGAGTATCTATCATGTATGTAATGTTTTGCCATAATAAAATTGTGATTTAGGTTTAGACCAGTAACATGCGTGTCTTTGTTTACAGGATTGTAAAACAAAACATAGTATCGACGACGTTTATGAGGAAATTCTTCTGTCTATTCTCCCACGTGGTGCCTGGTCTGCTCCTCATCGGGTTAGGGTACACGGGCTGCGCGCCCATCCTATCTGTAGCCCTGATCACATTCTCCATGGGGTCTAACGGTGCGGCCACCCTGACCAACTTGGTGAACCATCAGGACCTGGCACCTAACTTCGCTGGCACACTGTACGGCATTGCCAATGGAATAGGCAACACTGCTGGCTTTGTTACGCCGCTGGTCACTGCTCACTTCACCAAGAACGGAGTAAGTAGTTCAAATGTTGATCTGTTCGTTTAACATTATTTCTTTGTATACATACTCCATTCAGCAGTTTTATATTTGCCTTAAGAACCTGCTGATTTCTATAACGAGTAGTGTGTCTCACCTCCTAACCTCGTTTCCAGAATGGATTCGCAGAATGGCGGCCGGTGTTCATTACGGGTGCGTCGCTGTACATTGCGTCTGCTGGGTACTTCATTCTGTTTGGCACAGCCGAGACTCAATCCTGGAACTACATCGCTCCCGTAGAAGAAGAAGAAGACAAGAGACAGACGAATTCTAATTCCACAGACACAACTGTCACGATCTCACCTAAGACATAGGCCGATACTTAAGTAGTGCACACAAATGCAAGAAGTAACGCGTACATAAGTCTGCAGAATAGGTATTTGTATCCGTAAGTAGTATTTAAGTTTGTATTATTAAATCGCCATAATTATTTAATTACTTGGTCCACAATATGTCAATGCAAGTACATAGATTTTTGATACTATAGAGCTGCTATCCTATTTCAATGGTAACATTACTAAGGTGGAATTTTTGTAATGAGTTGTTGAATTTATACGTTTAACGTTAGCCACAATTAAATGAATTATTGTTGTTATTCCACTTTGTACAATTGTTAAGAAAACAATTTGTACATCTCCAATAATAAGTAAATGAATACATTAAGTATCAACTTGCGAGTTAATAAAACAGTCGGTACCTAGTTAGATTGGAATCAGACTATATACATCAGACTTTTAGTGTGATTGGTGATTTGTATTATTTTACCGATCAATTGTAACTTGTAGATTGTGTACTTTAGCTATATTAGCTTTAGATTTGTTTCATAAAAATCGTCAGTTTGACCATAAATGTAAGTTCCAACACGATGTTGACGATGGTGTTAGTAAAGACAATATTATTAACATAAACTTGGAATACTGATGGATCAATAGATAAATAGAAATAGATTAATGTCCTATGAAAACAAAAGTCTTGATAAGATAATTTATACTGCAAAGGAGATTCGAAAGCCAATGCTCATACTTAAAATTTACATTCTCATTATTGAATTCGCTCTTTCGATAGGGGCTTATTATAATTTATTAATCGACCTGGTAATAGAATGTGGGAGAATTACAAGATGCTCTCTTATAGTTGATTCATTAAATTATCATAATTATTCTTTGCGTTACTATCTCGTCTATAAAAGTCTGTTAAAGCGATGACTAACCAATTCATGCTCGTCTATTCGAATAGGATACAAAAATTTAGGCTTCGGTGACACTAGGGCGAGCCGCGACAGCTTTTAACCGCGTTAAAATGTATTTTATGAAGATTAAGATGCGGGATAAAACCGCAAGAGCGCAGCTTATATTCGGTTTCTTGTTTCACGAAATGACAAAGTTAAAACCACCACGGTTCCGCCCTAGTGTGATGGGCCTATGAGTTTAACTAATAATTTGTCGTGTCAATGACACTTCCATACATTGATATTTGCACACTTTCGAATTAAGTAATGATTATTTTGTAAATAGCCGAATTATTAATAAATTTAATTTAATGAATGTACACAAGTTTTATAAGTTTACTTGAACTATTAAGGTTTTGTTTTATTTGTGACTGTGATGATGATATAAGAGTGAATTATGTGAATTTTATAAAATTAATTAAATTATTGTATATGAGAATTCGTTTTATTTTATCATTAGAAATTGATTAGGTTTTTTTATGGCATAATCCGGTAAACAAGCAGACGGATCACCTGATGGTAAGCAATCGTCGCCGCGTCGCCCATGGACACCTGGAACACCAGAGGCGTTACAAGTGGGTTACCGGCTTTTTGGGGATTAGGAGTTTGAGGATCGATGGGGATTCAGGGATTGGGGAGATTGGGGAATGGGAGGGTAATTGGGCCTCCGGTAACCTTACTCACACGACGAAACACAACGCAAGCGTTGCTTCACGTCGGTTTTCTGTGAGGCCGTGGTATCACTCCGGTCGAGCCGGCCCATTCGTGCCGAAGCATGGCTCTCCCACACTTAAAATTTGTTTTCTTCTTGACGCAATGAGGTCTAAGTTACATTCCTAATCCCTATTGCATTTTTCGATTTGGGAAGTATTTGGAAAACGGCATATTGGTGTAGGCCTGAATTTTACCTTGGAATAATAGTTACTTGTGTGTACTTAATGCAACAGAAACAGGCAGGCTGTAGGCCGCTCCCGGGAATGTAAGGAAAGTAAGTAGGTAACGTACATATTTTATACATTATTTGACACACATAACATAACATAACATCACGCCTTTTTATCCCCGAAGGGATAGGCAGAGGTGTACATTATGCCACTGTACAATGTAACACCCACTTTTCACTATTTATGTTATGAGTCCCATGTAATAGGGGGTGAGCCTATTGCCATATACCGAGCACAATTCCAGACTCCGTGCTAGTACTGTGAATTTTTCGAAAAACCCAGTAATACTTTGCCCGACCCGGGAATCGTACCCGAGACCCCTTGCCCGGCAGTCGCATTTGCGACCACGCGGCCAATGCAGTCGTTGAAGGTTTAATGACATTATTTGAAGGTTTTATAAATAGTTTTATACACCTAAATAATAACTTTAAGTTAATGGAATGGATTGAATCAAACACATTGGGCAAGCGTGGCGGTGACGCAGTGGCGGCCCGTAGAGGCGGGGCGGCGGCGCCATGTGCATTAAGTCTTACACGCCCAACACACACATAGACATGAAGGACATCCCTTAACACTGGTAAACTATACCTATTGACTGGTCAAGCTATGTGGAGCAACTAAGAGTTAAACTATGTGCGTTCAGAACATTAATTGGGTCAAAGGCTGTGATCCTGTACATCGGTCGCACGCTTCTAGAATTTTTCTTTGCAATTCCTAAACTAAAAATTTAAGCTCAAGGTAATTATTTGATAGGGCAGGTACGCCTTTTTTCAACGTTCTTGGTTGTCGTTTTCGTTTTTGCTGCTATCTTTTCACATAAATACTAGATAGTGATCAAATAGTTCGGTCCAAGATGATCGTTTTTTTAACGCCCATGGTTCCCATTATCTAGAATGTATGTATATGACAACCAAGGAGTATAATACGGTAAATGACAACTTTGATGACAGTCCATTTTGTCAAATGGACTGACTGACTGAAGAAAGACAGTAAATTTTTTGTGTAATAATATAAAGTTAAATTTCAAGTTAGAATTTATAATAATGGCTGAACCAGCAACTGTAGATAAAGGTAAGTCTAGTAAAATGTTAATGTAATATAGATCGACAATTATGTTTAAGTAAAGAAAGACCTTATATATAATAGCGTACCTGGAAATAGGTAATATTTCCATTACTTATACAAACCTTTCATAAATAATTATATACTTCATTCATGTAGTTGCCTCACTCACACGGCGAAACACAACTCGAGTATTGTTAAGGACGTGGTATCACTCCGGTCGATCCAAAATATTAGTGCCGAAGCATGCTAATCCCATGTGTAGTATAATCATATCTTTATTTGCAGGCTCAGGCATACCGGTGCGGTTCATCGTGGCCATCATGATGTTTTTTGCTTGTGGTATTAACTACATGATGCGAGTTAATGTTAGTGTCAATATCATTGCCATGGTGCCTCGAGATGTAACAAATAAAAAGTGAGTCTGTAATAGTCTCAATGTAAATCGTCCTGAATAGCCAATGAAAGTACACCGCTGGATGGTAGGACTTGTTGGTGATCGTTTTAAAAGGAGCACGGTCATTAGATAACTCTGACGAACAGTTTTTGTTTTTTTTTATGGAATAGGAGGCCAAAGCGCACACGGATTACCTGATGGTAAATGATCAGCGCCGCCCATGGACACCCGCAACACCACAGGAGTCACAAGTGCGTTGCCGGCCTTTTAAAAAGGAGTACGCTCTTTTCTTGAAGGTTTCTTGATTTTTGTTAATGAAAAAGCGTTTTGTTCGGAATAAGAAAGTCACAGGGTGCCAAATCTAGTGGATGTATGGTATTTTAACCATTTCCTTGATCAAGATTTATCAATTTCAATACGAATTCACTGCCACACACTTCAGGCCCAATATATTTAAAAAAAAAATGCATGGCATGAGGCACTCGATATACCGACATCCTCAGTAATTTCTCTGGTTATCTTTGATTGGCTTTCCAAAACAATGTTATTTATTTTGTTAATGTTTTCATCGGTTGTTGATGTGCTGGGGCTAGAGCGTTCAAGGCGAGCGTCATCTTTCATATTTTCGCAATCTTTTGCGTAAAAGTTGTAAACATTGTGTTGATGTGATTCACAAATATTGATACTCAACTTCTTTGATCCAGTTTCTTAGATAGCAGCAGCGCAACGCCCAACTCGCAAAACACATAGTCGCATGACACTAGACTCCAAAGTGTTCACATCTTACTTTAATGTATTACACAAATATTGTATCTACATCGTTTATTGTAAATAGTTTATTTGGTTTACAGGCAGCAAAGTGAGTGTGCGAGCACGCAAACAAATAAATCTGAAGTAATGCAGGTAAACTGTAATATTATTAAACTTGCTTTGGCCTGAGACTTCGTCCGCGCATTAATTGAGATTCCCCTTTCCAAGACCTATTTCTATGTATGATATTAAATTTCAATCAAGTCAGTACTTTTGGTTTTCCTTTATTGTGATATTATAAAAGATTACGTGGTTCAAAATACATAATTATAGTTCTAAATTTGACGCACGTACGTCACGTTTCCGTAAGATCTTCATTTTATAAAAAGTTGCAATATTTGCATTTCACGATTTTTTTTTTTTGTATTTGATGGGGCGACGTTTGACCACTATCTCACCTGATGGTAAGCGATGATGCGGTCTACGATGGAGCACGTCGAAATTTATCTGACACGCAGTCTAATCGGTTTTACCCGTACAGTTCCTGTTCCTGTCAGATTTTCGGAATAAAAACTAAGTCCTTTCTTGAGTCTCAAAGTATCATTGCACAGAATTTCAGTCATATAGGTTCAGTAGTCTAAAATAAATAGCGTCCCGGGATTTTAAGTCGTAGTTACCGTTCCCGTGGGGTTTCCAGGATAAAACCTACCTAAATCATTTTCAGGTCTTAACCTTTTAAATGCACCCATATGAGACATAATAGAAAATACATTGTGTCTCGCGTAGATCCACGTCTTGGACACAAGAAAGGTTAAACTATAATTGCCGAATTTCAGTCAAGGTTTAGTAGTTTAAAAGAAATGGTGCCCGGGATTTTAACGCGTAGTTCCCGTTCCCGTAGGGTTTCTGGAATAAAACATGTCTATACCCTTTCGGGGTGTATGTTATTATCGTACGGAATTTCATTCAAATAGGTTCAGATTTTAAGACACAGAGAATTATACGTAGATTTCGCGTTTCTGTGATAGTTTCGAAATAAAACTATCCTATTTGCTCTATATCCATTCTTTAAAGAATTGCCTATATTGTTCTCTGGGTTGTAAGTATCTTATTTTACCCAAATAGTTTTTAGAAAAATAGGGAGGCCCCAAATTTTTACGCAAATTTCTCATCCTCTTATGTCGAATCCTAAACTATATCTGTACCAAATTCTATCCAATAAGTTTAGTTATTTCGGTGCATCAGATTTTTTATTTCTAAGTAGTAGGTAGTAGTAAGTAAAGAAGTACGTAAGTACGAAAAATCCAAAACTACTTTTAACGTCCTTGAACCTTGAATTACAATAGAATTTTTTGAGCAATTATATAACACCAATGTTTTTTCACTATGTAACTTGCGCCATTGTAACATCATAATGATAGTTCTAGGTTTTACGGTTTTTATTGGCGATCCTCAGTGCATAATTTTTAATCGATTCTAATATTGTATGTATTAAAATCGATATTTTTATAAGTTGTAAAATATTGGAAATTAAAGGAAACTCTTTTTCTAGTAACTTTTTGAGCTCATAAAAATAATGAAATATTGATACATAAACAATAAAGCACCTTATATTGATATACAATCAGGATTTATTGCAATTTATAAAAGTTAAAATCTTTCTACCACTTTTTGACCCAATTAGACATTGAATTATATTTGAGTAATTCGTTGGGAATTACTCAACGAATAATACAACAACCCAATTTTAAACTGTCAAACACCAAGCGGTCACCGGTGACCGCGACCTATTGTTCTTTAATTGTGTCTATAAAACCGGTACTCGACGAGTTAATTATCAGTCGATGGAAGTCTACTGCTAAAGAAATTGACAGCTTTCTATTCAGCCTAAGATTTTCTTAAAGCCCATTAATGTTAGATATTATGGCTAACCATAGTCCAATAAATGGAACCATCGGACAACAATTGTTCAATGTTGCGGACAAGGGGAGGTTTTCATTCAGCAGTAGATATCTTCAGGTGATAATGACAATTAGTGAAATGTTTGTTTGCAGCCACCTGGCACACCAACGTTTAATTGGACAAATCAGGAACAAGCTTATGTACTGGGGGGATACTTTTGGGGATATGCGACCTCTTGTGTAGTAGGAGGTACGGTGGCCGAGCAGTACGGCCCGAGGAAGGTAGTATTCTACACGATGATTATCGCGGCTATATTGACAGGACTGACTCCGCCTGCAGCAATGATAAGTGTTCAAATGCTTTTAGCGTCCAGAGTAGTGGGTGGCCTAGCAGCGGTAAGACTTTGTTTGATTGCATAGTTTTCTTTCTATTATTTTTATACGCAATTCCTTATTTTTATTCCGCTTTGCCAAATGCTACAAAATTGCTGCTGTTGTTTTGCAAATAAATCAGTGCTGTCATGAATAGACATGTCATTAATAAACTACTCTAAACAAATTATGAGGCCACCATCGTTAATCTATAGTCTCATTTGAAAAAAAAAACAAACAATTGTAACAAATTTCAGGGATTCCTCTTTCCATCACTTCACGCGTTATTGGCGCGTTGGGCGCCTCCGCAGGAAAAGAGCAAATTTGTGAGCGCACTGTTAGGCGGTGCTATTGGTACAGCATGCACGTGGTCATTGTCAGGACCTCTCATCAAAGCTCTTGGATGGCCTTACGCGTTCTACATCCAAGGTAAATTAGGGAGATTTAAGTCGACGTAATGATGAATTTTATTATCAGCCTATAAAACTTGTCACACGGGGATGGAATGGTCATCAATCACCACACTTGCTCAAAGCGGATGGCGATGTTAATCTTATATTTTGCTCTAAAGCTCCGGCTCGAAGCAGGAGTCTGACACTACCTCTCGCCTCATTCAAGGAGGAAAAAGTCATTTGATGATGTATCCTCTCACAAAAAAATGTCACGATGCTACCTTGGTTTACCCTTTGATATAATATTACTAAATCGAATTTTAATTGCAATACAGTCATTTCGAAGAATTATTATATTTGACCGAATAATTCATCGGTAAATTTTTATTTAGCGTAGTTATTTATTTGAACTAATTTAATTTCACCGAATTTTTTATAATATAAACGGCTAAATGATATGAAAATATTTGAAAATAAATAAATTTTCAAATATTTACAATGTTTTTTTTTCTGCATTACATTACACCAATTGAATATTCGATAAAATACATGTAACACCATGTGAAAATTACATCAAATGAACATTATACCTTTTGATCATTAGCAACTGAAAATTCTGTCAAACGATATTATACTAAGTAATGATTTCCTTAAAAGATTTAGTAATATTATATCAAACGTTGTTCGATCAAATAAGGGTGAACTGTTCTCCTTCACTATTAATTACGTAATAATAATGAATTACTCCCAAAATCATTACATTTTAGAGAATAATCTTAATTCTGAAATATTTCATTTACAGGACTGATAGGCGTTACTTGGTGTTTCGTTTGGTTATATTTGGTGCACGACTCTCCTCGAACGCATCCTCGTATCTCCAAAGGAGAGAGAGAATATATTTTAAATGCGATTGGAGATAAAATTGCCCATGGCCAGAAGGTTCGTTCAGTATGCATAAGTATATTTATAAAAGAACATGTCTATACTGACTGTTTGACTGACTGACTGATTGACTGATTGTCTATTGACTGATGTAGACATTGCCGATGAGCGATCCGTACGATCAGTGAACGCTGTTGAATGAGTTTTTATGTATGGCAAACTAAAATCTGTTACGTGCTATGTGGACCTATGGACGCTTTTAAGTGATGAGCACCGCCCATGGACACCTGCAACACCAAAGTGTAGGAGGGCCGTGCTTTGGCACGTAACGGCTCGACCGGAGTGATACCACGGCCTCACAGAAAACAGACGTGAAACAACCTTGTGTTTCTGTGTTTCGTCGTATGAGTGACGTAACCGAAGACCGAATTATCCCCCCCCCCCCCCCCAATCTCCAAAAGGCTGGTAACGCACTTGTAATACTTGTGGTGGTTCCAGGTGAGAAAAATTGTAGTAATTATAGTACCTACCTATAGAAAATATATACTATAGCGGAATTGTATGGAGCCTGATTCTTTGATTATAGGTTAAAACACCGTTCAAGAAGATCTTGACATCGTTTCCCTACCTGGCTATGGTGGTGCTACATTACGGCAACGACTGGGGTATTTACTTCATCATGACAGCTGGTCCTAAGTTCATATCTGGCGCTCTTGGGTTCGACCTCTCATCCGTTGGCAGTCTATCATCATTGCCTTACATCAGTCGAATGTGCTTTGCCCTTGGTTTTGGATATATTGGTGACAGGTGAATATTTAAAAACCCTGTGATACTTTCACGCATCTTACTTATCTCACTAATGCGAGTTTGTGTGTTTGTTGCTCAATCATGTCAAAACGGGTTAAAGGATCGTGATGAAATTTGGCACAGGGTCGTATTATAGTCTGGAATAACAAATAGGTTATTTTTTATCTCACGGGAAGGCGGACGAAGCTGGTTAAAGCTAGTATTATAAATGGGAAAGTGTATGTATCCGTTTGTCTTCTTTCACGGCAAAACAAATGGACTGAATTTATGGCTGGAGAGTAACATTGGCTACTTTGTTTCTTTCTAAAAGGATTTTTTACCCCGCATATGCAAAGTCTATGTCTGTGTGTAAAAAAGCGCGGTGTATGGTAATAGATTTGTTCGTATTATAAGCAAATAGTAACATAACTGTCAAAGGGTTAATGTTTCTTATAATAGGGATGATGACCGGGTATGAGAATTAAATTTCTGTTTATTCCGTCAGTTAGGTAATGAATTGTTTTGTTTGTTATAACAAAACAATTCTTAGATAAAACTAATCAAAGTTTAAGAGTGGGAGCTAACTACGTCGTTCCTACGTACAAAACCTACCTGAAGTGGTTTTTACCTTTTATTTTAGAATAATCGAGAAGCAATTAATGAGAACAATATACGTGAGAAAGTTTTTCACTATATTTTCTCATATCATTCCGGGATTACTTCTCTTCGCACTGGGCTACGCTGGCTGTAGACCTATGCTTTCAGTGGGACTGATCAGTTTCTCCTTGGGATTAAATGGTGCAGCTTGCTTAACCAACCTGGTGAACCATCAGGACCTGGCGCCCAACTTTGCTGGCACATTATACGGCTTGGCAAATGGTGTAGGAAATACTGCTGGCTTCATCACACCATTGGTCACTGCTTACTTTACAAGAGACGGAGTAAGTCAACGTATTTACTTAATAATAAAAAACTATTCAATACGAACAATGTATCTGTCATGGTGATTTCGTTTCCAGAATGGATTCGCACAATGGAGACTAGTATTCCTAGTAGGTTCTTTGTTGTATATTTTAACGGCATTTTGGTTCATAATATTCGGTACATCCGAAACACAACCTTGGAACTACCCAGAAAACAATGAGCCAGGAGGACAACGTAAGAAGTAAACTAGTTTGACTATATCGTACACTGACTACTTACGTCTTGGTGCTTGCGCTTACGGCTGTACACCCCGAAACCCCTAAGATTTGGATATAAAGAATTCTGTAATTTTCTTGCTTCATTTCTAACGACTCTAAAGGTACTGTTACACTTGCTAATTTAAATCACGAAAGCATGCTTCAATTAAGCATTTGTCAATTATGTCGGAATACTCAAACGCTACTCAATTTTAAGTCACGCTTAAGTATAGTTCTGTCTCATGCCTACTGCTAGCAAAATATATTATGTAAACTGTTCATGAGCGTGCTCGTATGGTGCATATTCAACAGAATGCTTTTTAGCATGCTATTGCAAAGTATTTGTATCAGTACGTCAATTGTTCTAAAGATTTGGAGATTTTTTTTTTTGGGTAAGCAAATTAAGTTTTTAGATCCAAAGAATCAAAATAAGGCATTTAAGAAAAGTTATGATTTCTGAAATATGTATTGTAAGTGTATTGTGCATCTGTCAGAGACTAGTGTGGAGAGAAACGAAATATAGGCGTATATTTAAAAAAACCTGAAGAAATAATTTTCTTTAGACATTGCGGCATCGATTTTTGTTGTTAGCAGGCAGAACATACCTACACAATATATTTTTGTTCGTGATGTTTAGTTTTTTTAAGTTTTTAAATCCAGTTTATTGCCTGATTTCTTTAATTTCGTTATTCATTGTAAACCTAATTATGTAATAAATATCTTATATTACCCAGTGAAAATGTGTTTTTGTACAAACAGTTTTCCCGCTTTCCAAAAAGGAAGAGATTCACAATTCGGCTGGTATGTTTTTTTCTTTGTATGTACCCCGATTACGCCGAGGTTTATTGATCTATTTACGTGATTGTTTCATTTTTATTCGACGTGGAATACCTGAGTTCCCTTGAAAATAGTTTTCAGGTTGGTTCAGTAGTTTTTATTTAATGGTTATAAATAGGTACTTATATACTTTGAATGTCATTTTCACGATACTTCGTAGATTTGTACATAGATACTTAAACATTTCTGGTTTGACTGCCTCGTTGGCCGAGTGGTCGCAAGTGCGACTGCCAGTCAAGGGATCTTGGGTTCGATTCCCGGGTCGAGCGAAATGTTACTGAGTTTTTATAAAATTCTCAGTCTGTTGAACATCTGATGATGAAATCTCAGGGCGATCGAGAGCAAGCGTCAAATGATGAGCACTTATTGTGTTTATTCTGAGAATTTCTTAAATCTATTCAGCCGTTTACGCCTGATGATCATCATTTCCCACTTCTCATGCATGAGGGTGCGGGTTCGAAACCTACCAACGGCAAGTACCAATGTGACTTTTTCCGAGTTATATGTACTTTCTAAGATTATTTAGATACCACTGACAAACGGTGAAGGAAAAACATCGTGAGGAAACCTAATTTCTAATTATAAGTTTGAAATCGCCAACCCGCATTGAGCAAGCGTGGTGATTAATGCTCTAACCTTCTCCGTGTGAGAAGAGGCTTTGCTCAGCAGTGGGCATTTATAGGCTGTTAATGATGATGATGATGACCATCATTTCATATCGATAACCTGGTGATGGAAGATACAACTCTTCTTTTGTTAGGAATTCAAAGAGATATGAATCGAGAATAGTACCTATTCATTGGGTCTCTTAAGTTGACTTGATTATAGATGATAAATCAACTTAGTATAGTTACACAAGTACAAATATAGTTAGTTTTTGGTTTTTAGTTTTAGGGCTTTTGAAGTTGGTTTTTTCATCTTTTGTCTTTTTCACATATACATCATTAAACTGTCAAACACCAAGCGGTCACCGGTGACCGCGACCTATTGTTCTTTAATTGTGTCTATAAAACCGGTACTCGACGAGTTAACGATTACATAAGAATTTTGATATTTTTTTCATACATCCTTTGTATAAAGTGATATTTTACAATATATTCTACAATTTTGTTTAATATAAATAATGCAATGTTTCTAATTCTTCTAAAATTGAGGAGTTTGCAAATAAAACGTCAACGAAACCATTTAATATATTTTATTATAAATGTACGTACAATATATCTACATTATATACACGGCAGGCATTCATTAATTACATTGTCAAATATTATATTTCAATATTTTCATCAGTTATAAGATTATACCCAAAGGGTTCATTCATTTGATACAGCGCTAGACACATAATTATATAGACCTTAATTAGCGGCTCACATGTACGCGCCATCTGCAGGATTTTGCTAATCCGCGCACTCGTACCTAGATGTTTCCTATGCTTGACATTTTGCTCGTCGGACCGCACGTGTGAACCGGTCCTTATGGGCGTCGTTACAAATATCTAACGTTAAGTAAAATTTAAAAGCGAGTGATTGGCATAAATATGTCCTACATTAATAGATCGACAAAATAAAGTTATATCCCATTGATACATTCATCTACATTATACCATTAAGTTTGAAACTATTCTTACGTCTTTGGAATTAAATCACCAAAACAACTCTGGTTATGGTCACACATTATAATTTTTAAGGCGGGATTCTCTAGATATTATCTACATAATTGCTATGAATTCATAGTCGTCTTACCGTCTTAGAAACACAATAGATATTAAACATATTCATTCAAATATTACCGAGATTATTCATTGTTTATCTATAACAAATTTGTTCAACATAAATCATGGTTACTTCAATATCAACACGTAGGATACGCATTATTAATAATTTAAATAAATGTCTCCATTAATCATTCCCTACATTACTTTTGTGTTTAGTTCGTAGTAGGTTTAAACATAGGATTCGGACTCCGTATCGGACTCGGAGCCTTCTAAAGCTATAATATTGTTTTGGCCTTTCGCATCGGTGCCGTTAGATGGTTCCCTGTACAGACGCGGTACAGATTTAGACCGCGAGTTCTTGTCGTCTTTATTTACATGCACCGGTTGAAACTTCTTGAGCACTCTCTGATACACCATTTTTCTTGGTGGTACAGGTGGAGGCATGTGGGGAGGAGCCTTATTATTATTGTTGCGTTCATATTCCGAGATGTTGTATTCGGGTTTGACGGCAGTCGGTGTAGCTTTGTAGATGTCAGAAGGGAACATATTTGAAGATTTCATGTCGTGAAAAATGTCTCTTCGTCGGTTATAAACCGAGGTATACAAGGGCTCAATATATTGCGTGGTGTAACAATTCTCAAAGGAGTTTTCGCTTGCCGGTGACTCCGTAGATCGACTGTTGAACGAATTTTGAGGCTGGTATAACGTGTCGCTACTACTCGAATCACTATGAAGTATAATGTTAGCCAAAGATTTTGATTGGTTTAATTTATTCGTGTTGTAATTGCGTAGCCTTGATTTTTTGTAGTCTTCTGAGTTGGTGTTCTGTATGCTGTCGACATACGAATACGAGTTTTGTAAAGGATTAGGAGTTTGTTTCTCCTGCTCTCTGTTTGCCGGTTGAGCGGTGCAACTTTTAGTGCACATGTGTGCAGGATCAAACCGTCTCTTCCTGCAACTGTTTGTTATTTCATAGCTGCCGTTGCGTAATTTGTCTGCGTTTCCAAGGACTTCTTCGCTAACTTCTAAACTTTTTGTTCTAGCTGCTTGACGAGTCCAGTCATTTCGTGTAAAAATGGTGGCTGCCGGTGTTAAATTTACGTCCGCTTTTGATTGCGATGGTTCTTCCTGTTTCTTCGTCATCTGACCGTATATATTTTCCGTATTGTTGTTGTTCGTTTTGCTAGTATAGTTGGCACTCTTTTTTTCCCAACCTGTATACACTCTAGCATAATTCGTGTTTGAAATTGTTTCTGTTTGTGATTGATATTGATTCTGTCGTTGAATATTCTCTGTAAACATGGCTAAATCGTGTATGTTACTATACACAATATTTTCTTGACTAGAAACCAGATCTCGTTTACTGTCGATATTTTCTAGCTTTGATTCTAAGAGATTGTCCGAGCTCTTAGCTCTGTTAAAATTTTTGTTAGAGATGTTTTTGTTTGCTTCTTGAGTATCTGCAAACATGCTATACACTTTTGAAGTTCGAGCTGCCTTTGAAACATTACTTCTTGGTGGTTTTTGGGGTTCTAAGCCCGTAATGTACTTAGCTGGGCTTTGTTCGTAAATATCAGCTGTCGAACGTTGCAATCCTTTTTTTGGGGTATAATTTCTTTCATCTCTACCATTCGATATACCAATATTAATAGAATTATGTACATATCTCTCTCCCATATATGGCGTAGTATATAACTCTTCATTGACAGTACTGTAGAGTTCCGCTTTGTTGGAATAAATATTCTGCCTTTGGTTAACTTGAGGCAAACCGCTTACATTATGATTATCGATATTGTATCGCACTACTAACTTAGATTCTTGCTGTATGTTGCACGTGGGCGCAGACATGCTGTGGAGGATGTTTCGAGGAGCGGGGCTGTTTCCTCCGTTACTGTTTGAATCATCTTCGGAGAGCGTCAGTCCTGAGTCTCGGCTTAGCGATAGCTTTTCCTTACGTGGTGTTGATAGTTCCATAGAGTCTAAGGATATTCCGACTGAATGAAGGCTATCGCTTTCTTCGGCTCCAGAGTCTAGTAATGCATTTGAAGACTCAGGATTACCATTGCCTAGTAGACCAGCAATCTGCGGTCCAAACAAAGCTTCTGCTTTAACGATCAGTAGTTCTACGACCATTGGCACTGCTTTTGGAGCTTTGTCACAGGGTGTGTTGGGCCATAACAAGCTAGGACCAACGCATACACCGAGGTTCATGGGACACATAAGATTTATGTTTGACTTCTTAGCAATAGCTTGCAATAAACATATGAAGTAAGTCAGCATCGTGTAGTGAGCCTTCGGCAACTTCAACAGCAACGACCGCACAGCCGTCACTTTTTCATTTTGTGACAACGCTGAAATAATTGAAAAAAAATTATTATAGCAATGCGATAGAAACAACAATACAGTCTCAATTTTATTTAATTCCATAAGAGTATGT